TCTATACATATGTGCATTAATAAAAGAATAACACTGCCTACGACTGAAGAGCAGCCTCCTGTGAGGTAGAACTATGCAGTTTTTAAAAGGCCCAATATAAAACTTACCTTCTATCACTTACACTGTTGTTATACTTTCAAAGCAATTCACAAATATTAATTAGCTCTAAATAAATTCTAATTATTTCTAAGAGTGGCCCTAGCAGATCTGTATCATCTGGTGTGAAATCTGACTTCAGTGAAGTCAACAGCAACAGCTCCTCAGACCTCAGCAGAGCTGACATTTCACTCGCCATTGCTAAAATGCTGGGAGTCATGTATATTATCTAGCAAGTATCACAAGTGGAGCTGAACTAGTAATAGCAGTAGTAACAAATTATAAGGTTAAGGAATGCTGGGTGAGAATAAAAGGAGAGGGTTAGATGACCTGAGCCAATCTGCACAGCCCAAACGTGGGAGAAGCTTTGCCAAAATTTGGGAAATGCAGTAATCGGGCTCTGTTTGATTTCAACATCAGCTGAAATGGAAGGCGCTCACCTGCTGCTAAAACCAATTCATGTACTTAGGTTAGTGGGGTTAATTCCTAACATCTACTTATGCCACAGATCACTAGCTTAGTTAACAGCCCACTTTGAAACATCAACTCTTTATAAAGAGATTTGTATTATATATCTACATAAATATTACATATTATGTATATAATAAAATACATTAAAGCGGTTTGAATAAAAATCAAAACACTTAAATTCCAAATAGTATACATCAAATGGATAATCAGGTATGTAGCAAACAAGCGGGTAACCAGTATTTTTCTTGCTAATTGTGGATAATAGAGACCATCACATAGTGCCAACTTATTTTTCTCACATGAAAAAAAATGCCTTGGTTGTAAAAAATAATATTAAATATTTTACATACCATGCAATTACATCTAGGTATGGAGGTTAAAAATCAACTGAAACTATAGATTATGAATCCTTTTCTCAAATAGAAATGTAATCCTAATAGAAGTTCCTCCCTTTTTCTCTGCCAACTTTACCACCACACAATATGCCATAGAGAAAAAAGGGGAAGTGTCAACTTGTGTAAATTGTCCCTTATGTAATGCAAACCATCTGTTTAAAAAACAAAACAAAATGAAAAATCAAGCCACTCCCAAGCAAGATCTGCTATGTAGAAAAAGAAAGAAAAGGAAATTTACTACATCGAATTGGAAGCCATAGACCATGACCTGCCATGTAACCATGGAGAAAATATTTACCCCTCTCTTCCCTGTATTTACCCAATTTTGCAAAGTATTTGGAAAAATATAAGTGAATAATTTGCTCTGCATACATTAGAGATTGATATTGTTGTAGTCTTTTGAGCATTTTGGCCATCTAGAATATTTCCAGTCACGTAGGAACACAAGCAGAGAAACCTCTTTGTTTTCAATGACAGAATAGCTCTCACACAGTGATGCCACTGGGTCAGAAGATCCCTGAGTCCCCAGCCACCGGAACCTGGCAATGTATAGGGGGATGAAGTATTGGTACACCCTTGCCCTACTCAACTTTAGGTATCTGCCATGAGAGGAATCTAAATGGACTCCTGCTGTGAACTGTTATGACTATTTTTGTTATCTTCAGTCAAATCCTCAGAAAAGGATGTGTAGATAAAACAGTACTCTTTCCTTCCACAGTCTCTCTCTGGATAAGTCAGTCTATTGGGAAGCACTGGCTGAGGAACCCTACCACATATACTCTCTGAAACCACTAGAAGACATACATTTGACCCTCTGTTACTCTAAGATGGACAGATGAATAAGAAAGCATTGAATAAGTCAGTTGGTTTCATTATCTGAGCTGAACAAAAATAAAAGAACAGGACAACTAGTTATTAATAATTTTTTTCTCTTTCACTGACCTTCAGGCTTGATCACACATTCTCTTCCAGCTGCAGCTGTGCTGGCTGAAGAGGCCACCATTTCCAACCACAGCCCCCTGCCAAAGGTTACCACTGTGACCAAGCTGCTTCTTTAATCACTTCCCAACATGTTTCTATTAAAATGAGCCAGCTCAGTTTAAGCAATTTTAACAGAAAGTCCTTGCTGTTCCAGCCTGGACAGAAGCAAGTTATGGAGTGCCTAACCAAGAAGCTTGGCCAGAATGTCAGAAGTTAGAGGCACAGCAACGAGCAACTGGAGATAGTTATCTCTTCAGCTACTTTCCCTGCAAACACAAGGCAGCAAGTAACCCAGCCATCAGGTGTGATCAATAGCACAGCTGACTAGAGATCTGCAGTGCCTTAGATGACATACTGCTGATTTTGAGATACTCTTTTGGAGATCTGACTTTTCAAAGGGGCAGGGCACATAACGGTAGAAATGTCCCTTTGAAGGTGTCCCCAACCTGATATCCATAATCATGGTACTCAGTGTCATTAGTTAGTTATGAAAATATAGGTTGTCACAACAATTCCCTCTTCCTTCTCCCCTATATTTTCTAAACTCCCTTTTATTGAGAAACAGTGTATGAAAATTTTCATAGTTCTTTGTTATTTGTGACTTGAACTGACTTGTCCCATGGAGATTTTTATCATTCCTATGTGCAGGTTGTTAATGCTAGTAAATAACACAATCATCACTAGAGAATTCCTATCAATCAACCATAAAAAAAAAAATTCTGAAAATCTATCAGTCCAGAAAAAAAGGGCAGGTTTTCCAAAAGGACTGAGAAGATGTAGAAGTGAGGTTCCATTTTCATAAGGTACACAAGCCAAATTTAAAACATACAATGGTAGTCAGGTAAAGATGCCAGTAGCAGGGTCTTCAGAAGTTCATGCATGGGAAAGCCTTGCATCCAAAAGCAAGCTCAGTGAAAGTCAGGCATTTAATGTGCTGAGAAGCTGATCAAATTAATCTGCTGTATGTCCTCTGTTGCAGCGGTATACACTTTAGCTCAGTTCAAGCTAGCATAGGTGACTGTACTGAAGTTTACAGTACAAACATTTGCTAAATATCCCTGAGACTTAGATCCTAGTGCCCCTGTCACTCTTCAAATGAAGATTTAGTCTCCTAAATCACTCAGGTGCTTTAGAAAATTTTATCCAAAGTTCTCTGGTTTACAATCTACCACATCTTTGCCAAGAGGACTGATACACAGAAAGGCAAGCAGAAAAGTGGGAGAAATATGTTTTAATGGCCTGTCAAAAACATTTCTTGATGTGAACATTGCATAGTTTTAAAGGCAGCTACACTCTTCATTGCTACAAGCATTCTAGGTGTAGCTAAATGTGTATATGCTTTTTTGTTTACACTAAACTGTGAATGAAAATAAAAAATCCTTTGGACTACTTATCACTTTTCCTCAGCTTCTCCGTCAAATTCAGTCAAACATGACAGGGAATCACCAAACACAGAGCTGTCTTTTTCCACTGGCTTCTGCTGAGTCCTAGACCTTGGCATGCTGTTAATTCCACACCTTATTGCCAGGAGCAGCAGCAACTTTGCTCTTTTTTCTTTTTCACTTTCAAGGTTACAGAAACATGTAATGTCATATGTACTTCATGGATGTAAGGAACTATCGGGCTGTCTTACAGTTAATGTACATGCAGCAAAAAGAAGAGGAAAAAAACCAACCTCAGCTCTTTCTATCCAAACCAGACTTCATTAAACATGGAACTAATTTAATCTGCCACATACATCTAATGGGGTGCTTTCCTGACCTTTTCCAGGCCTACAGTTATGGTAGCATTCATATTCACTGTGGCTTTCAGTTAAACATTCTGTAATGTGAATCACTGCTTCTGTCATTTGAGAGAGACTGAGTGTGAAATCACTAGAGGAACTGAATGAGCCTATGCTTTGGCACTGCAGCTGCTGAGGGACATGAAATGTTTTGAACAGTAATTTTCAGTAGTGGTCCCAGTCTGTAAAATATTAGGAAAAGGCATTAATGGCCAATGAAACTCAGGTTTGCATTCAAATACTGTATCTACAATGTTACAGAAACTGAAAGAAATCTGAAATTGTGGGCTAAGCCAGTTTAACTAAAGGAAGGAATCTTTTTAAGTTCTAATTTCATGAAACTGCTGCAGTGGCAAGTGTTGAGTAAGTCAAAACCACTGATGAATTTGTGAGTTAGTGAATGATACAGATGGATACACCAACGTGGACTTAATAAAGCTAAACATCCATGCTAGAGACAGAGAATGGTAGAACAAGCAAGCACTAGATAACTCAGTAGGAAACTGATGTCAGAAGAGTTATACAAGCACTAATGCATGAAAATAAGTCTATGAAATTCATGCTCCCGCTAAGGCTATTCATGGAAATGGAGTTCCTTGATTATTCCTTAACTTGTATTTATTATCATCCTGCTGACAGGAACATGAAATCCTATAGAAGGCTTAAATAAAATTTCAAAAAAAATCTGTGGAGTGTAAGAACAATACAACTCTTTCAAAGATTAAAACAGTAGATGCTATATTTTTTAGTGTTAGGCTGTCATAAATGTACTCATAGTTTGTGTTAGTCCATCAAACTGAAAGGCATATGCTATCTTTGATCTCTGTGCAGAACCCCCGTTGAGATTAATGTGAGTTCTGTGTGAAGAAAGAGACTAGAATAGGCCCTCAGTTCACAAATAGTAAGCAGGCTGCTTCAGGAAAAAAACATATTTTCTTACAACAGTGTTGAAATTTATTGGGAAGTTTCAAATAGCTTCTCTTCAGATGTATGGACGTATGTGTGGTCATGAGCACGTTCACTTGTCAAAAAGATCTGTCAGAAAAAAGGTGCATAAATCTACTTGTTGTGTGAAATGTTTTGCTGCTATGTTGAAACACATACCTCGTCTCTGACAATCTTTTCTCATACGATTATAACTAATCCTCCATCTTACACTCATCTGTGCAAGTTAATGGCTTTGTCCATCGGGAAAGAGAGGTGATACTTTTATACAGATTAGCATGAAATTGTGCCCTATACCCACTTCGGCTAAAAAAATCTACAGGACTTACTGCATCCCGCTTTGTAGCTGAAACCAGGAGGAAGAAGGAATCCTTGCTGTGCAGCTGCTGCTAGCGTTCGTTGGTCTGGAGGGAATACGGGAATCATTAATGGAGGCAGCTGACCCTGAACAGGAGAGGGAAAATCAAACGTGGAATTTTTTCTGGGGAAAATGTCTGCTTACATGCTTTCTCTTACTTCTGACCTGAGAGGCCAGGTCTGAATATGCTCCTCCATCATGGGGTGTTCCAGTAGGATCAACTATTTAGCCTCATCTTATTTACCAAAGCACTTCATATGAATTACATTAATCCAAAATAAATCAAAAGATTCCACTAATGCATACCTATATTCCAACTAATTATTCCCCCCACAATCCATAATGCCTCACTTCTCCTTGACTGCAGGGTGGGTTTCTCTTCTCATTTATTGCACTGTGTAACAATATCTCTGTCTCAGACAATACTTTTCACCCTGACTGAGCCCAAAACCAAAGATACACACACACAGAAGTACAAATACGTGCATAAGTAGCGTACAGCACAGTCAGTACTATTTTTCTGCCCATGTATCTGCACTTATTCGTACATGTGAAAAGATAAAGTCTCTGAGATGGAAAGAAAAAAGGCTGAGACACTTTTTTCACAAATATATAAAACACAGCGACGTCTGAAGCGTTAGCTGTTAAACTCTGCACAGCAACTGTACACAACCACGCAAGTCAGGAAATGGAAAATATTATATTGTAAGTGGATACTGCAGAGGACTTAAGACACGCAGAAATTAGTCATCAAAACTGGAAGTTGGCCATGGCACAACCTCTAATACTATTGCTTTTACCCAGTTCTGTCAGAGTTTTTAATTGCTAGAAATGGACACCATCTTTGCATTTCACACAGATGAGAAACAAAAAGTTTGCTAGATTAAAATGCTAAATGTCTAGTTTTAACTAAAAAACCCCACTGTACTGACCAGATCAGTCAGTAAAGGGAGACTGACTAATTTTTTAGGAGAGGTCATCTAGATTTTTAACAGCACTGTAAAGCTGAGCCGTCAGAGGTAGATATATTATCAGACTAAAATTCAGTTTGGTCTGTAGCCTTAAGAAACAAGGAGAATTAGGACATTGATAGACAAGTTTTTTTGGCCACAGGTGTAAGAAGGTGTTACTCCCTTCATTATTGCCTGCACAGCAGAACCAGCAAAAGAGAACCTGTGCCAGCTCCTTTGCTGCCAAAGTTCAGACTACAGCACCTTGACCTAATTTTATTTTAATTTAATCTCCTGTAGATCCAGGAGATGTCTCAGTTCACCCAACACTGTTACAAGGCAGAAGAGTGATACAAAATCTGGGATTGTAACCTCTTAATTTATGCCAGAACCTGTCAACACTCGCGGGTGTGCTGACTGCATCTTTACAGCCTCAAACAATTTGCAAGGATGGAGTTCAAGAGCACTGTTGATGGACATAATCCACTGTGGAAGATTAAGATTGGGAATGAAGCTAGAATAGATGCAGCTCCACTCACTGAACTAACTTGAACCATTTTTTGGTACTTCAGTATTCTCCTTTCTATTCTGATCCTGTTCAACAGAGGACATACGTACTTTTAACTGGACTGCTGGAGAAAAAAAAAACCAACATAAAATGTGATTTCTTCTCTGTCACCCTAGAACTGTCCAATATCTGCCTTTTCTTCATGTGTTTATTTTTTGTTTGTTTTGTTTGGGGTTTTGTCTTTTTCTTTTAAGGCAAAGTAACTGTATTCTTTTAGAACAAAAATGAACAGCCGTGTGGAATTTTTGCATAGTACTCTTCTTCGGCAAAAAGCCACAGAACTTTTTTTTAAATGGTTTCCAAGGATGAAAGTGACTTTGCCAAGCAAAGAAGCTTCAAAACAGGACTCAAAAACACTAATAGAAAGACAGATGGTTCTACTAAGAGCTTTGCTGCCAAAAAAAATGTTAAAAAAAAGGGAAAAAAATGGAGTGATGTTATTGAAGCTGACTGCAAAGTTCTCTGATGACTGCAAATACTCTTGTCCCACTGCAAGTGTTAACTCTGCCTCCAGGGCTAATAGAACTAAAGCACCACACACACACAAATTGTCATTGCCAAGCCCACAATGTAGCACAAGTCTGCACTTGATTCCAAGTGACTGCCAAATACACGAGCAAAACACCACACTGAAAAATTCCCATTTAGGAAAACATTTACCAGGAAAATGCCCTTTCTTCTTAACTCTGACTGCTGCATTTCATTTTTTCAAATTGCTGCTCCTCTTTATCTCTCCAAGGGGCCTTATACCCACTAATTTCAAATGACACAACTCCGCTTGTGTTAAGGAGGTAAGAACTATATAGTGATGAGGATGGTTTGCATGGATACAGAAATAACGCAGTCAAAACAATGTGATTTTCATTCCAGGATGGAATGTATGTAGCACGACTCAAACAGCTACACTTCATTTTCTCCCAAATACAAATAAGTGCAAACAATCATTTATTTTAATCCGATTACCTGACACAATACAATACAAATTACGGACTCTTCATTTTTATGGCTCATTTAACTACTACATTTTAACTTTTGCTATGTTTATTATTATTACTACTTAGAAACACTACAATACAACTGTTTCAAGTGGCACAGAATACAGGCCCTCCTTCTGAGTTTTACACGAAGGCTATTTTCCTCTTTTTGTTTTAGGTTATTATTACATCACTTACATCTCTCACTAATGTTTTTTATTATATAGTTTACATACTTTCCAACGTTTACTTGACGGTAATTTATTGACACTGCGTTTCTAATTTGAACATACTGGACTGCAAATCAGAGCTATTTTTTTAGGCCCTTCAATTTGTTCTGCTAATGGACATATATACGTCCATAAAAAGAAACACATCTTTACCTATCTAAAAATAGATATATCTGATAAGACTCTCCACTTGCCAGTCTCTCTATGTGATAACCTCTTCTTAGTTGTCATTTCCTAAAGGTGAAGATTGTAGGTTAAATCCTCACAAAATTCCCAATGGATTTAATGGGCTACAATTTCACCTTGTACCTTCTTACCTACTTTATGACGTTAGTCTGGATGATACACATACAATCTTCCAAGGGCCTTTTTTCACTACACATACTATTGCCACCATGTCAACTGATCACACAGTTCTCAGTTCTTTCCTTTAATTTGAATGCCATCACCACATACCAGATTAACCAGAAATACTCTTGCACTGCATGACAAACTGTAGAGGCATGGTATGCACAGAAAAGGCATACAACATGCATAAAATAACAAAGAAATGAACCAAACGTCATGAGAGCCATAGTATTCTATAAAATCAATTCACTAGTCAAGGCATTCATACTTCCATTCACCTATCTCTGACAAGTAATTTGGGGCAAGATGGAAGCCCATGCTGCAATGAAAGACATAAACCATACCACTTGACATTTAGTTTATGAGAAATAACTCCCCTTAAAGAAGCAGATACATGAGAGTTCAAACAGTCCAAGAAACCAGAAGTTCTCTATTTCATAATGAGGACAGTACGTCATCTTCTGGAATGGCAAAGTATTTTAGGAGCAGAAGAAATTGCAACCAAGTTTAACGTAGAGCCCAAACCAAAATCAGGGACCCTTCATACTTGCCACTGAAAATCCAAAAAGGAGATCAGCCTTAAAGAACTTATCAATGAAAAAAAAAATATGATCACATGAGAAACAACTAATAGTATATCTACTGTCTAAGTGGGAAACTGAAGCATCCAGACTTGCACGTAGAGATTTTCAGTTTTGGGAAGTGCCTCACTGTATCTTTACTTGTTTCAGTGCCTTTGAAAATCTGCCATCAAGTGACTTATCCTTATCAAAAGAAATTTGTTAGTAAACTTGGAACCAATTCAAGCTCCTGCTGGGATAGCATCTTTACAAATCTGAGCATGTCCTTTATGACTTGACCATAACAAATCCAACCACACAAAGATGTGCATTCAGTGTAGTCACAGCTAAGATTCCCAGCATTCCTAGCTTTATTATAATTGTAGAATTTCCGCCTAAATTCTGGTCCCCTACCTACTTCTAGGAACATACTGTGGTTACCACAGCTACCTAAGCACTAAGTAGTATGTTTTTAACAGTTACCCCTACTGTTTGTTACTAGCTCCTGCTGTGACTTATATAAATTTAAATTGCAAACACTTGACAACTACAGTTCTCTTTTTCTGTAAAATGTCACGTGAGCTTTGGGTCCCTACATAAATAGCTACAAAGACAAAATAGTTTAAGGAAACATTAACGTTGCAAAGTTAGGCATTCAAGGCTTAAGAAATGCCCGAATCAAGAGAGCGTGCATGACTTTATTTTGGTCCTTTATGCCCATGCATCCTGACACAGTCTTTAATTAAAAGTTTACAACTTATCCCCTCACATGACTCTTACTTAGTCTAGCAGGCTTACAATATTTCTCAAGTATCATAAACCCATACCTTCAACAAATCTAAACCCCTAAGATGGCAGCTGCTATTGGTTTTATTTATTTTATCTTTATACACTTCCATCAGTTCCATTTCCGCAGTTGCTCATTACATGTTTATTAGCATAAACTTTTATAGAAGTTTTCCTCTCTCCAAGGTAAGTATTTCAATACACTTCCCAACATCCATATATAACACTTTCCACTGAGAGGCGAATACTGATCTTCCACCCACTTCTAGTTCTTCAGAAGCAATTCTACCCATTTTGGTGAGACTGATGACAGAGTAACAAATTACTCAGTGTGAATAAGAATGGCTGCTAAAAGCAACACCCCCTTCTCTAAAAACTGAGAAAACTCTAAGCAGTACTTTATCTTGAGCCATTTAGAAGATGTCCTTCAAGAGCTGTATGAGCGTCTTTGCTGAACTGATCTCATACGTGGCTTCTTCATGTAGAAAGTGTGACTAATTTCTGTTTTCATTTGAGTTATTCTCAGCTGCCTCAAAGAAGTTCAGATTTTACATTCCTAGAATAGTGGATGCACATTAATAATTCTGTTAACTTCAAACTGTTGTATGTATATCTTCTTGCCTGCAACTTGTTTATAAGCTAAGCATCTCTTCTACTGTATATAAAATAA